GTCGAATAAGGATTCCGGCGCTGTTTCACAGACAGACTTATATAACCAGAGTTTAGTTTCGTCTGTGGTGCAGGCTAAATTGCTAGCCTGTTGATATGGATTCATGAGCGAGTCCGTGACATCGGCAGACATTATTCTGCTCTAACTCAATACGAGAAGAACAGCCAACAACTCCTTCAGGAATGAGGTCGGTGTAAGTTGCGTCAAAAATATAAACTTCGCTTCTAGGCGTTACATGTACTTCTTAGAACAAGGTAATGTTGATGATGATGCCACCTTTATTACGATATTTTTGGTTTCATTCAATTTACAGTCTTGCTGCCTCATGCAGTCTGCAGTCTGCAGTCTGCGGTCTGCAGTCTGCAGTCTGCGGTATGCAGTCTGCAGTCTGCGGCGTGCAGTCTGCAGTCTGCGGTCTGCAGTCTGCAGTCTGCAGTCTGCAGTCTGTAAATGTCATACACCGGAAGCGTTCCAACGACTCCAAATTTAACATGACGCAAATTTTAGAACATTTATTCAGTAAACTGACTTCGCAAAGTTTCAAACCGGTGTCAATTCAGTCTAGAACTGCAGCGAAAGAGTGCCTGGTTAAGGCTTACATCACAACTTAAATGGTTAGCAAAACACTACTTTTTTCGCAGTTCGATAAACAACAGGATTCCGCATGGAATACACAACACATTAAACTGAATGAAACGTAGTACACAAATTATCACTTTCTTATCTTCAAAAATCGGCCTATGGTTCAATGCCATTAGAGCCCGCTGAAACTAGACCTAGATCCAATTTTTCTGAGTCGAGAGTCGCTTTTCCAAGGTACAATCAGCTAAGCTAAACACCGACGAAACAGTATTAATGGCTGGCACAGAATATTTTAGCCAAACCGCAGTTCAACCATCGATCACATACCTGTCAGCACCATGTGGAAATTACACAATCACACACTTTCGCGGCACTGATAAGACTATCCACAACCACGCATAATCTTCTCACGTTTAACATAAGCGAAATATCATTGAATAACACGGAAAAACTCAGCCTAATGCCGGATTAGAAACACCTCTGGACCTTTCTCTAACACTCATCTTATTCAAGTTCCCGGATGTAAAGTCACACGGTCGGCGGATCACCCTAGCCTTGTTTTCACACCAGAAAAAACCAAGTCTTGGCCCGGGTCAAAGTTCACCTGCAATTTTGCTCTCACCTAATTCATTTGACTCCTAACAGCCTGTTCCCGAGGCCAAAGACTTAGTGGTCACCTTAGAAAAGCGAACAATATCGTGCCTTTCTGTCTTAGCCCAGATCAGGGTGACTGATCCGTTTAACCAAATGAAACGAGAATATAATACGATATTGGACGATCCAGACTCTGCGAATCGTAATAACTTTGTCCCATCTCAGAGCTTTACATTATGCTCTCCGGGAAACTTTTCTCAAGGTGACCAATATCTAAAAATAAACTGCTTAACGGCACCGAAACCAGCTTTAGGCTCGCACTGATTTCAAATACCTGTCACTTGTGTTAAACAAAGAATTGTGGGTAAGGAAAAAAAAGAGGGGGGGTGGTAAGAGAGTAATTCTGTCTACATCCACTTCTACACAAATTCCTCACCACAAAACAAGCAAGAAAAAAACGACATAAGCAAACAACACAGTAAACAAGCTATGAGACAGGGGAAGTTGAGAAAAATTACAAAATGTTTGCTATCCCGATTTTCATAACTCCAGGTATACATACTAAAAATTAGTAATCATCTTCGATCACATTTTGTTTGGGTAAGAATTATTCTTACCCAAGTGACGGATGACATTTCAGACCAAAAATCGTTCGCGCAAATCCGTAATCCAAATTACATCACCTCTGAAAGTTACCAGTATATGTACTATCAGGCACTGTTTATTTTGCGTACGACCTAGGACAGCCAATACCTTTTTTATTTTCCCATGCCAATTAACAAAATGAATGAGGCTGAATATGATGTGAAGAATTGTGCTGATCGAGGACTGGAGGATGTTATGGCCGAGGTGGATAACAGCCTCCTAGACATATATAATTCTTCACCTTATAAGAAAGTCGAATTCAATAATTGCTTTAGTATTCATTAAAAATCATTCTGAGTTCTTAACAACCTTACTCCTCATAGGGGAGCTCCACGCGCGCGCGAGCGGAGCCCCATAGCTAAGAAAATTTGGTAATTTATCCATCCGAGAAATTTGGGTGATCACGTGACCGTATGCCCGTCCGTCCGCATCACAGATACTCCTCAAAAAGTAGATGACATCGAGAAATATTTTTTAGCGTATTCTTGCATGTCTTACGTTCAGTTCTAGTCATGAACTTGGCTGCTTCGTTTTCGGTGAACAATTTCAACATATGCTTACGCAATATAAACTGTAACTAATGCTTAAACAGCTAGGTTGTCGCGCCACTGCCTGAGAACGACGTAGCGGCTTTTTATTTCCTACATCTTCCAAATATGGTAGGCGCCAGCTGGTTATAAGGATAGCGGGGGCTACCTGATTTTTTATTTTTGTTTTATTTTCAAACAAATACTTTCAGTGCTCTCGGGAGTAACGGCACATGGTTTGCAAGCCTCCTAAAGGCTAATAGCTCATAAGTTTAAAGCAGTTTAAAGCTAATAAAGAAAACGGTCACAATTTCTACAAAATGCTATGTCCCAATACTACGTCCAGAGGTCTTCCTCGTTAGTTTTGGTTCCTGAGGAGTTCCGACTACTTCAATGATGAACGACAAGGTCAAGGTCGCAGTCACTTATTTCGACTGACAGATGCCTAGAGATGCGCCCAAACTCGAATTAGCGCCCACCTCACCCCACTCCCTCCCACAAAAACTCCAATAAGATATAATAAGAGACCCTCCCGAAGACGGAGTTTTCTTCAGGGTATTTTACAGAACCTTGCTTTGTTACATCTTCGCTTTTTCTTATTAGCATTTACTGTTTTGTTGCAAAGTATGCTACTACACTTGCTGAGAATGGTGAAAATTTAATAAGCACCCAGCCTCGAATAAGCGCCCACCTCGAATAAGTGCCCACTCTCAAGGTCCAAAAATTTAATAAGCGCCCAGGGTGGTTAATCGAATAAATACGGTATTTTACTTGCAGCAGTATATCTCGGCACTAGGAACTGTTCTTCGAAAATCATTCACGGGAGCTTTTTCCTCCAATAGCAGCCTCGATGTTCGTGAAGTTTAAGCGAAATCTGTGAGAGCGTTATCGAGATATTTTGGGATAAAGTTTTTATTGTTAAAAAAAACATTAAAAAAATGGAAAATATTGTTGTTTGGCCGTTATCTGTAGAAAATGAGGCGCTTTCAACATGCAATTTCACCTCATAGTAGTTTCAATCTTTTTAAAAGCGTGTGTGAAAGATCATGGGAGATAGCTCCAGCCGATTGCTAGAAAGAAGGGTTGTATCGAAGCGCTGTTGTTAGCGGTTTTGTAAACATCTTGGTCTACTTTAGCAAATTAGCGAATAATTTTTAAACCACTCGATGGATTTTTTTTAAAATTTAAGATTCTTGAGATTAACTTTCCTTTTATATGACCTTTTAGTTTCAAGATTATTGATATATTGTAAGGCAGTGAAATAAGGGCTACATTTGTTACTTTTTTTATAGGAAGTTTCGTCATCACAAGTGAAAGCCTCTAATTATTCAAGGCATTGTCTCCAACTTTCATCTTCACGTGAACAGTAGTAACTAACAATGCAGTTGAAATATGCAAAAATGCTAGCTATTGTCAGTGTGCTCGAAAATATGAAACTTGGACACAATACCCTGAATAATGAGAGGCTCACACTTGTAAACACAAAATTTCTGCCAAAATATTGGCGAATTGTAGCCCTTATTTTACTGCCTTACAATATATCAATAATCTTGAAACTAAAAGGTCATATAAAAGGAAGGTTAATCTCAAGAATCTTAAATTTTTATCGAGCGGTTTAAAATTATTCGCTAATTTGTTAAAGTAGACCAAAATGTTCAAAAAACCGCTAACAGAGCGCCTCGATACATTCTAATCAAATCCTTCTTTCTAGCAAACGGCTGAAGCTATCTCCTTGATCTTTCACACATGTTTTTAAAAAGATTGAAACTACCCTGAGGTGAAATTGCATGTCAAAAGCGCTTCGTTCTCTACAGATAACAGCAGAACGCCAACATTGTCTATTTTTTTACCTTATTTCTAACCACAAACTCTTTATCCCAAAATATCTCGATAACGCTCTTACAGATTTCGCTTTAACTTCACGAACGTCGAGGCTGCTATTGGAGGAAAAAGCTCTCGCGAATGATTTTCGAAGAACAGTTCCTAGTGCCGAGATATACTGCTGCAAGTAAAATAGCTAATAGCGTCATTTCGTTGCTATGACAACTCTGATGACGTTGCAACCCTGATCATAACAAATTTCCATCTTCATCTAATACAACTGTGGAGGCAATTTTTCCAAAACTTTGTTTATGGCGACGTAGTTTATGCTCAAACTTGGGAGGTATTGATCCTGAAAAACTGTATCGAGCCACCTTAAAACGTGAAAGCTATTTTCATGGGAAATGTCGGTGATAATGTTATAGTATATTATGTCGCTTCAGTCCACTTGTTGATTGCGTTTTTAATGTTACTGAATTTGGTTAAATTAAAATACTACCAGTAGAACTTCTTTTTTCTTGATTGCCTTTCACTAAATTTGCGTGACTTCTGATGAAGTCAGTTCACAAGATTCGCGTGAGTTACAGACAGTTCGCTGATGCATAAAAGTTAATGAGTTCAAGGTAATTTAGCATAGAATATTCCTTTACCTAACGTCTATATCATTGACCTCTTATTTCTGTTTCCTTCTGAACGCACAACACCATTATCATGAACAAAGTAAGAAAATTAAGGAAAATTTATACGCACACTTTACGCATATGATTCTGAAATTTCAACATAAACCACAAAACAACACGTGACAATGTCACATGATTCTTTGGTGAGTCACATGACACTCGTGGAAAGGGAAATATGGATTTCAGTCGCGAAAGAATCGCCAAGGAATTACCTCTGGGCTTTGTTTTCTCTCACGCGGTTCCTCCAAGGGTTAACTAAAACCCTTTTAAAGGTTTGTTAAGATTTCCAAGTTCATAATTTAAGAAAAAAATTTAACTAACTCACAAGAATTGACAAGCAGCTTTTGCAACGAATGTCCTAGTGTGTGGCAATCATTCGCTAGCTGTGTATTCGTGTACTCTCTACAGAAGGTTTTCAAACATGATGTTTCTTCAACGAGTGTATTATAGTTATATTTCCTGGCGGTGAAAGCCTAACAAATCTCACGATTTTTAAATTGCGGCTTACTTAACATTAATTTTACTTTAAGAAGAAACAATTGTTCATTACAAGTGTCTGACGGCTACTCCTCGTTTCTAATTACAATGTTTTTATTTTGCCTCTAAGAATTGAGAATTGCACTAACCCAGTTCAATTTCTTTTTTTATATGCCTTGTTGTATAAGCCGCTATTCATTTGTCCTGTTATAGGAGAATTATGACAATGACATCTGTTTATTTTACAGAAAAAATAAATGTGTCGTCTATTTGGAAGAACTGGAAGCCCTTTACACGACTATTGCGTGACTCAAATCACTGGACCTTTTAGGTAATGTCACGCACTATCAGCCTTGAACAGATGTAAATGTTTGTTGAGATTGTTGGCCACATAGTTAGCTGTTTAAAAAACGATAAGGATGAAAGTTAATGATCTATTTTAGCAATCAGTACTTTCCTTGAACTGGCAGCGCTTATAAACTACGGTACATAAATATTTCAATCTAGCTAAGTGGCAAGCTGACAAACATGTAAAGGAAGAAAGTTCCTTTGGCCAGTGGAACAGTAAAAATAATCAAAGGAGCAATTTATGTTATTTTAAAATACTAACGATTCACAAACTCAACCCTCCAAGTTAAAGTTTTTGCTTGGTCGCCATTTGGCGACCAAGTCTTAAGGTTTATGCATCAGACAATTCCACCTGCACCCAGCCCCCCCCCCCCCGGGCATTAGCATTTTTTTTGCCTTGGATAGCAAATTCCCGGGGGTGGGGACTCTTGAGCTGTCAAATCCCCCAGGGTGGGGACAAAAAAAGAGGGCAAATGCCCCGTCCTCCGTCAACACTGCAACATTTTTTATTGATCGCACAGTCAAATAGTGCCGTTTTAAGCATTTTAATGTGCGATTTTTTGGTTTCATTAACGTCTTTTTTTGTAGTAGCGCGAGGATTCTAATTAAGACTTTGCGCCGCGATGACATGCACCAGTTTATGGGTTTAGTGTTGGTATAAAATTATTGACATTAAAATTAATCGAGCACTGTAAAGTTATATGTTATGAATAGTTTTATAAATATGAAAGGATGTTCTTCAAATAATATCAACAGAAATTTGATTCAATATCCAAAAAACGGTGATTCACATCGATAGCTCCAATTTCGCTACGTAATTCTGGCTTGATAAGCAATGAAAAAATGCATACATACATGTAAAATCGAGAACATGCCGTTACAACCCTCTACAATTTATTCCTGTCCTTGACAAATGAGCCAATCTGCTTTTCTTCCCGTAAAACCTTCTTTGTAGTTATATCCTGATAGGAAACCGCGTGTGTGTCAAAAGCTCAGGATTGGCCCGCGGGTTGGCAAATGCCCGGCCCCCGGGCAGTGCAACATTTGCAAATGCCCCACCCCCAGGACTGACAAGGCGGGCAAATGCCCTGCAGTTGCCTGGGGGGGTGGGGGGGGGCTGGGCGCAGGTGGAATTGACTGATGCATTAGGGAGACTTTTTTACAAATCAAGTCGCCAGCTTCAAACTTCTAGGTGCCATGGTGACTAAAATGGTCACAACTTGGAGGGTTGAAACTGCAAGCAGAATAGAAAATATATAGAAATTTTCCTTCGCAGATCAAAATACAGTGTACAACCTGTGACCATTCTAATTGTCTTTTAA